TATTTTGTCTGTCAGTAGCCTTCTAAGACATACTTTTGACTCTCTGTGGTAGTTTAGAGCGTCCATTTTTCGGCGTGAGGAAAGTAGGCTTCGGATTCGCGCTGTCTTGATCTCCCCTTCCCTTGAATTTTCTCTCAGCTACCAATGGGGCGTTGGAATTAGTCCTCCGACTAACGCGTGCATCAGGCATGTAGGATCCAACTCCTGGCCCGATGGATTGGCGCATTATAAATTCATTGGGCGTCCCCACACCACCGTGCCTGTCGCATTGATTATCACCGTCCACGCCGACTGCGAACTCTTTGTTGATGTCACATGATTCACGCGTCCCGTGACCCTGTGCGCATCGTTAACACTTGGTGGCCCAGAGGTCGCACCCCACAGCTGCCTTCTCAGTGGCTTTGCCCTTCTGCTAATCCACACGCTGGATCCGCTCACGTTTTGCTTGAACTTCTGGCCTTTCATGTTGCTGTGTGATTACCGTCGCGTTCCAGGCTTTTGGCCGACATTGAATTGTGCCTTTGGTCAGGCTAAATTTCACAGATCTCTGAACCCACGTATACCCTCCGCATCGCTATCTGGGTGCTCGCGGTTTCTCGTCCATTGTCTTCGACTGGCTTCGTCACTGCAGTTGCATCCTCTGCAAGTAGGTTAAAATCTGCAGATGGCGAATGACTGCTTCCCTTGAACGTTTGGGTCTTTCGAGCACATCTAGAGGGTTTTTTTGGCGATTCCGACCTTGCGAAGTCTGTGGAGTCTGGCATCTCCCCACATGCCTTTTATGCGTAAGAGGCTTTGTTTTGGTTAACCCGATTCAGTACTAGATGACGGCGAGCAGTTTGATTGCCTCCTGTAAACGCCAGGCAGTCGATAAATATATTCCATTGAACGCGTTTGCTCAAAATATGCGAAAATGGCATTTTAGTTATTATCGATGAGGGCGTAGAAGACTCTGAACTCCGGTTTCTATTTTGAAAATAAGAGAATCCGAATTCGATTTCCATATGTTACTTCGTTAGACTTTCCCCACTTCCAGCATACAAAGTTCTTCCTTGATGCTGTCGTTTCCATAATTCCATCGGAACTCGGCCATTGTTATCGCTACTGTCATCGTCAGCACCTTTTATATTCCCCAAGGTTTGACCAGAAACCAAATTGACCGCGTTTTTGCTGCCCCGTATTACACGGACGCCAGTGAGATTTTGCGGCCGAATAAGAGGAGCGAGATAATCGGGGAAAATAGGGAATTACGACCGAAATGCAAGCTGTTTTCTCGTTTGGACTAAAACGCTCTGTCGTTTTTCATGACACTTCCGTTGTAAATGATGGGTAGACGACTCTAACCTGAAAACTGAAAGCCGTTTATTTCCTCTGCAGGGCTAGAATAACGCCCGCCTCTGGTTACACAAATTCTGAACCCTAAAACAACGCGGATGAAATGTGATGGTAGAAATCCAAATGACCTCGCACGCCAAAAACGGCAAGTTTACACCGGAAGAATTTTGTTCATACATGGAAAATAGTATGCTCACAGTCGTGTTTGCTGCTTACGTTTCAGAAATGTAACCAGTAGCCGCCCATCCCACATGCTACTTAGATACAGGTCCAGCCATACGAGTGGCTCGTGGTCCACAGACCCCGAAAATGTCCTTGTTCATGTGTGAACGGAGTCTACTCAGTGTAAGGAAAAACGTTTTCTTGACCTAGAGACTCCATGCATGCTCGCTCGCGCGTTTACACATTTCAGGGAATAACCCATTCGCCTCCTAGTTATCTTTACAGATATAAGAAAGAAAAAACAGGGAAATTATGCAAAATGTTTCACTGGCACTTCTTTTATTCCTGTTATCCATTAATGCCCAATTTCTTCTTATGGGCAAAGGCCTGAAAGGTTTGACTTACCGCAAAATATGCTACCCAACATACGCTTACAGTTGGTGACCGACCTCATGATGTATAAACTGAAATTCTGGATTGTGTTTTTGATTGGAAAGGATTCCCTAGGTGGGCTTGTAATATTGATAATCGTGAATGTCGGCTTCCGAACGAGCTTCCTTTTGGTTGCTTGCAGAAGCCACGCTTGGTAAAACATAATTATTTATGTAGTACCGATGTAGTATGAATGTTTTTCATCGGTTCTCGATGCAATTACAAACTCGAATATATTTTACAGAAAAGACGCTCAGAGATATCCTTTCTTTTTCTCATATTTTGGCAAAGAATGTATTTTTATACTTGAAAAAGTGCGTATTTACAGTTCGTGACCTGTCACATGAAAGATCACGAACTGCGAAATAAAGCGATTGTAGCGAACGAACCGCCTACCCTGCATGCACAAAAGTTATGCCGCGTTGAAGAAACCGCCGATCATTAAAAGGCACAAGAAACAGTTAGTTTTATGAAAAACCATTAAATGAAAACGACTTTGCGACAGGTCAATTATTTAATGCCTAACATAACTGCCAGTGGAGAAGGGAAATTTCATACAACGAAGAAATGATGAAAAACAATGACAAATGCAAAGTATGGGTGCTTTGTTGATTGTTTGCTTTTAAAATTGCCGTAAGCCGGGGGGACATAGAGACTACTAAGTTGCCTATGATAGTTTGGTCTATACAATGATTAGGCACGAAATCAAACTTTTACTGCACTGAGACATGTTTTCTTGCCTTGTTCCGATTCCTTTTGATAAATACAAAGAGATTTTCGATCGAATTCAGATACAGGCTATTGACTGGAATAAAACTGCTTCGCAGGCCTCAGGCGGAGAGGCTGGCTATGGTCTAAAATATTAGATTACAGTCGTAAACTGAAGTACAATCATATCACCTTTGAGCAATGAAAAGGGACCTTATACTGCAACACTACAGTGTCCATTTGACGTCCATGAACGCAGCCGCAACCAAAGGCATTCTTTACTATGTCGATGAAAACCTTGTTATTTGTCGTCCCCAGGGCGTAGGGGTGTCCAATTGTGATTCCACATGTTGGTCCTAGTACGTCGCTCGCTCGCTTGCAGGTGTTGATTACACCTAGAACTGGCATCCAACTCTCACATGGAGTCCCTCAAAGCTAGGCTTTACCTAGCGGCCACACCCCGGTAACCACCTCGACCTTTGGGCTAAACTAGGTGAGGCCATCCGGTGCTATGTGTGTGTCCTCACATACGGCAACTCTATTGCCCTTCGCTGTCCCCCTTCCCTTCCCCTTCCCTTCCTCCTTCCCCCTTCCTCTCCGCCCACTTACCCCCTCTACTCACTTTCCCACAGTCGAAAGGTCATGTGACGAGGGCGACATACAGTCAAGTAGGTGGCCCAGGTCAATCGGGTCCTCCTCACATGGAACCAACACGTGGCCCATACTGTACTCCGGCGGCCGTCTAGGCTGACTCTGCAGCTCTATTTAGGGACAGTACTGCTAACCCACTCACGGGGGGCGTCCATAAGAGGTGCCCTAGACAAATGCTGGGTTCACGACATCTACGCGCAGACCGTGGCCCGCAGACCGCAGTACAAGCGGTCGAAGCAATCAAAGAAGAAACAAAAATCCCCCTCCTTCCCCTTCCTCTCCTCTGCCCTACCTCACAGGCGGCCAGCGTGAGCGGACTCACCCTGGCAGCCTGAAATGTTCGTTTCCTTTTAGGCAACCCAAGGAGCAACCGACCGGAACGGAGAACGGCGCTAATAGATCGAGAACTGGCGTGCTACAAGCTGGACATCGTTGCATTCAGCGAGACCCGTTTCTGCGAACAAGACCAACTGGAGGAGGTGGGTGCCGGTTACACATAGAATGGCCGCCCCAGGGCAGAGCGATGAGACACGGGCGTGGCCTTTGCCATCCGGAGCGATATCGTGGGACAAGTGCCCTGTCTGCCGCAGAGCATCAACGACCGACCCTGAGCCTGCCTCTTGTAGGAAGCAAATTCGCCACAAACAGCGTCTACGTTCCTCCCCCGATCACCGGCTCTGACGAGGCGAAGACCAAGTTCTACGAAGACCTGCACACCCTCCTGACGTCTGTGCCGAAGGCGGACAAGCCGGCTGTCGTCGGTGACTTCAATGGCCGCGTCAGGACAGACTACGCTGCCCCCCGCAGGAGTGCTTGGCCCTCTTGGAATCGCCGGCTGCAATGACAATTGTACCTATCCAGAACACCGCCTGATCCTTGCCAACACCTTCTTCCGCCTGCCGATGTGGAAGAAGGTGATCTGGATGCACCGCCGTTGGTGGCGGTGGCAGCTGCTGGACTACGTTCTCGCCCGGAGGCGAGATCGACAGGACGTTATGGTGATCAGGGTGATTCGCGATGCTGATGGCTGGACGAACCGCCGCCTCACCATCTCCGTCTGCCACCCCGCAAGAGGCCATTAGGTAGGCGACCACCAGGCTGAGGTCCCGTGAATCATGACTCAAGCAACTCGCGGCTCAAGCGATTATCCCCTTTCGCGAGAATTTCGACGTCATTGAACTTGAATGTTTGGCCCGGTCTCGTCGAGTAGGCCGCGACCTGAGAGTTGGCGTCATTTCTCTGTACCGCTGCCGCTTGTTCGACAATTCGCGTCCGGAGCAGTCTTTCAGTTTCTCCGACGTAGTTGCTTTGTCCGCAACTGTACCAGATCCGGTAAACGACTTCAGATGTTTCTTGCCGTGGCAGTGGGTCTTTTGGTCTCATCATCTGACGCCTTATGATGGCCTCCGGTCTGTGTGCAACCCAACCCCAAGTGATGCAAGAAGACGACTAACGGCCTTCGAGACGTTCTTGATGTACGAGATCGCTCGGCAGAATTTGGAGTCGGTACCATTCTTTCGCTCGTCTCGTTTGCGCATGCACCGGTTGACGAAGTTGCGCGGGTAACCATTTTCTCTGAAGACCCTTCGAAGATATTGGGATTCGGCAACCTTGTCTTCCGGTTCACTGCAGTGCGTCTCAACACGCCGATATGGCATTCTTACGCAACTGCGTTTGTGGCTGATTGGGTGGTTACTGTTGAAGTTCAGTATTTACGTCGTGTTCGTCACTTTTCTGAACACTTTGGTCTTTAGGCCACCACGATCTTTGCGACAGACGAGGGCATCAAGGAATGCCAGCTGGTTGTTTTCTTCCTCCTCCATCATAAATTGTATGTCCGGGAAGACGCTGTTGAGACGTTCTTTGAACGTTAGCATCTGATCCCGTTCGATGAGGACGAAGGTATCGTCCACATACCGAGCCCAAAATTTTGGTCCGTGGTGTTGGAAGACTAGCGACTCTAGCCGATGTGGGACCGCCTCGGAGACGAATCCCGAAATCAGCGGGCCCATTGGTGTCCCCTTCACCTGCTCGTAGATTGTTCCGCCAAACGTGAAGTACGTCCTCAGACAGAACTTTAGGAGCTGAACGACTTTGGCATGTCCGAGACGACTCTCCGTTTCATTGTATTTGCTTCGTAGGAGTAGCTCGACTATCTCGATTGCCAGATCCTGATGGATAGAAGTAAAGAGGGACGTGACTCAAAAAATGCCATGAGCTCATTTGGCAAGAGAGTTTCTCCAGGAATTATGTTGACGAATAGACGGTTGTGTTCGAATCAGCGGTCAGAAATTTGAGGCATCGAAACAGCCATTTTGCCAGTCCGTACGTTGGAGTGCCTTTGAGCGATATAATGGGCCGGAGAGGAGCGCCCTCCTCGTGCATCTTGGGAAGACCATAGAATAGGGTCAAGGCTGTTTCTTGGCCTCTCACCATGCGTCGGTCGGTCGGTGTTGTTGCACCCGAATTCTCCAGTGTCGCATTAATTTCTTCCTTCCTTCCCCCTGCCCCACAGCCTACCATGACTCGGTGCCCACCCCACTCACGCATCAGCTGTCTGTTTGTCGTTGCCTGTCCTGTCGCGCCAGCCGACCTAGTCTGCCGATTTCACTTTCCCCCTGTTCATTTCTTCTGACGACGGGTTAGTGTCACCGACATGAAAATGTAAGATTACAACTCGATTTTCCGAAGAGCCTTCTCTTTTTCATTATATCACCTCGGAATGAACACCACATCAGTTATTCATATATAGATAGATAGATAAGTTTTTATTAAAGACCCGTCGGGGTCCCATCAAAGCAAGTTAAAATAAACTTACATGCGAGTTTTAGACGAGGTAGGCCGAATCTTTACAAAATGCAATTCATAGTTTCTGAATTAGTAGTTCATTGAGAAACATGATGATTGAGGGGTGAAAAAAACTCCTTACAAAAAGTTAAAAATGATTGGATTAATTTTACGGGAGAAAAAAAACCCTCCATAAAAATAATAACAGAAAAAAGCGAGCAGGACTGGCCTGTAGGTGGCGGTATATAACGGAATGTTGTCGGTCATCGTCAGGGTAGCAATAAATCTTAGCCTTAAGGGGTACGTATGCGGGTCAGACAGGACTGGCTTGCATGTGGCATTGTATACGGGATTCACAATTGAGATCGTCTGGGCCGGATTGATACGCCGGATGAGACTATTCGCGTCAAAGAAGCCAGACGAGAGGAACCCAGATGCGATCGACCACAGCACGCTTCGAGCTCAGCCGAGCAGTGGGGAAGGGAGGTACGACCAAACTACTAGTAGACGCTGAATACTGAGGGTTCCTCCGTGAGCGTCGACAGACCGCATGAGGTCGGAATGCGAGAGATGACATCAAAAACCGCGAAAATTATCGCTATGGGGGAGGAGTGATAGCAGTGGATTTAGAAACCAATTCAAAACGGGGGTTTATAATGATATAATTAAGAGTTACCACTTAATCTACCACTAAATCCCAGGAGGACCCTTCTCGAAGTCAAGAATCTGAGTGTTCGGGAATGAGACCGTTAACAGTGCCTTTATGCTTTTCGGTGTAAGATGTTTGCGTAATTTCGACTTGAATACCAGTAACTTAGGCGATAATCTAATATCTGGCGAAGATTATTCCAAAGGAAGGCATATTTGGAAGCAAAGAAGAGGGAGCGCTTAGATGTAGTACAAAGAGGCGGTGGAATCACCATGCAGGAGTTGCGCGTGGCATAAGACCGATCTCTTGGAGTGATACCGACAAAGACAAGGGGACCGAGATGGCCATTTCTGGCGTCCTATAAACAGCTGGGAAGGTAGCATCGACAAAACTCTTCAAGAAAGACCCAGACTCTTGTAGGGCTCCGTTCTGTCTCCATACGCTGGGTCTCTTCCCGGAATTTTAATTTAAAATACAATGCCACTTAAATAGTGCCAGTAATACGTTTATAATGATCTATGTTTAGGGTCCAAATAGACAGGCAGAAAATACAGTTCTCGAACACGTTTACTGTCGTATTAGTCTGAGCTTTCGGTCTCGTACAGGAGGCCGTCGTCAGAGATTGTGAAAATGCGGCATCAAATGAGAAGTTTTTGTAGTCAAGCCATAAAGGTAGGGAAATGAATGCAGAGGGTGGTATTCGCGATACGCTGAGTCCCACGCCATCTCACGGCGGCGTGACCGCGTGCACCCTTGGCTATTACTGTTATTTCAAACAGTTAGGTAAAATATAATGAAAGAAAGTCTCATGGAACCTGGAAGGTGATCAGGAATTATGATTAGCAGTTCCATCTTCAGCACTTACCAGTATAGGGGCTCTGTTAGATAAGTGAGCAAGTTTCAGATTGGCAGTCCAAAAAGGCTGCAAATTTAAGAATCCTGCCAAAAATGAAACGAAACGAGGGAAGTATTGTGTCAAGCTTGATGAATGAACCATTAGGAGCATTATGAGGAGAACGGGGCCATTATGATTTTGACCCTTTACACAAACAAAAAGGTAATGTCTGAGCGGTAACGATAGGGTGTAGGACCCACAAGTATGCGACAACTCCAAAAATATACCCTAAAATTCAGTGTGTCTGTAAACATCACTTATTATTTCCCGTTCCCATCGTGTGAATATTCCCTGCCTTACTGACTACATGTAAACTTACCAGCGGCGCTTTATTCAAAGTCCGTTATCTTTTAGAAATTGCTTTTTGTTTACTTTTCAATTATCACGCTCACTTTCTTTGCCAAATGACAACATACGATGAGACTTTCGGCAGAAATTCATCTATATTCTGTGTCCTCTTGCTCTTCGTCCTATGTGCTGCCTCAACCGTAAAACCCCCTTTACTACCATTCAACGTATGACACGGTCCACAGGCTAGTTCAAGTTATTTGGGGGTCCTACACCCTACCGTTGCCTCTAAGCCGTCTACATCGCCCCCGAGAGCAAGAAGGGAGTGCTTGGGAGAAGAGATAACGTCCACGGAGCATACAGCACATTTGTCGCCCCATAAAAAAAGGCCTGTTAAAATAGCAACGGGTCATGGGAGAAGGGGCTGACAAGGTAAAGCCACTTGCAGGGAAGCTTAGACAAGGTTGCAAATCCTGCTCTATCACGCAAAGGATAGGACCAGGTGAGAAACATTTGTGGTCCCGACTGGTTTCTTGGGAATCCGAAGTGTGAGGCGAATAGAACGATTGCGTCTCCTTCTTCACAACTGCTTCCTGGCACTTAACTTCCGATTGTATCGGTAGGGTCTGCATTGAATCAGTATTCCCTGAAGAGAATAACGCAAGTAAGCGCGGGGTGTGACAACATACAAAGTGAGGCAGTTGGAAGGAGCGTCAGTGTGGGGAAGTAGGCGTAAGTAAGACCAAACACCAGCATTCACCACTGTACTCTACTTGTTTTGTATATTCTGATCATGCGAAAAGGTACGAAACCCGTGCCGCATGTTTCAGACTTCTCCAGAAGGTCTTGAAAATAGAGAATGAGATAAGAAACGCAAAAGTAAAGATGGAGAAGTTGATGGAATCTCCTCGCCGCTCAGGAAGAAGACAACTAGGCTAAGGCACTAATCACAACTGAGAACCGACCTCTTGTGCGAGAAAAGGACGACAGAAAGAGATCTCAGAAGACGCAAAAGCGCCCTAGGGCATCCAGAAAAGACAAAGCAGATCACAGTGTTCGTATGAGAGAGCAGAGTCCGCACATAATAGCCGAACTACGCCGACTGGAGCCTGCCAAATCCCCTGGTCCAGATAAATTTCATCCACTTGTCTTTTGAGAACCGGCTGACGTATTGTGCTAGCCGGTGTCCATGATATTTCAAAAGTCCATGGAAGAAGGTGAACTGCCGGAGGAATGGAAAACTGCCTGGCAAGATCCTATTTCGTAGCCGTACCTGTTAGGGGTTGGGCTTAGGAGCCAGGGGTTAGGGATTATGGTTAGGGGTTGGGGTTTAGGGTTAGGGGGTGAGGGTTAGGAGTTGGGGTTTTAGGTTAGGGGTTAGGGTTAGGCTGGGGCTTGTCTACTGCAGGTACGACTACGAAGTAAGATCCGACCAACTAGCCTTATTTCTCTAATCTAAAAAAGAGGGTCCAGGCTGGAGCCCAAAAATTACCGTCCTACCAGTTTAACCTGAATTTTGTGCTAGGACATGGGACGACTTATTATGGAACATTTAATGACGTATTTGGAGCAGAGGAACCTATTGTGTGCTGCTCAGCACGGATTTCGTCGTGGCCACTCATGTCTTACGAATAGCCTTTACTCGCAGGAAAAAGGGACGAAAGCTACAAGCCAGGGTCGTCCAGTAGATGTCATCTTCTTCGACTTCAAAAAGGCATTTGATACCGTCCCTCATGGACGACTCCTAAAGAAGATTTGGTAGTGTGGAATATAGGGCAACATTTTTAAGTGGATCAAAAGTTTCCTGTCATGCAGGCTCCTAAGAGTAAGTGTTTGTACCACTGCATCCGAATGGGTACCAGTAGAAAGCGGCGTTCCACAGGGTTCGGTTTGGGTCCTCTTCCTAATCAATATAAAAGACTGTACTGCAGATCTTGAATGCGACGCCATCATGTTTGCTGACGAGATCAAGATCTGGGAAACAATCGGCTGTGTTGACGACGCGCAAAAACTACAAGAAGATGTTGATAAGCTGGCTGCATGGTCCAGCAAGTGGCTTCAGAAGTTTTCATTCAGTCAGCGTGTGGCTAGACCGTGGAACTCACTTCCAAGTGAAATTGTGATATGCAACACAATGGCTGTATGCAAAAGGCGGCTAGATCGTTTGATCTTTGATAAACGACGACTCTCACTGCAGGACTGTCTGCGGCCAGCCATGAACTTTATTTCCTGATTTCACTCCCTGTGTAATGCATCCCTGCACGTTTGATGACATGTTCTCTCGCAAACTACACAAACGACTGCATTTTTTGCTGGTTGTATATAGTTGCATTTCGAAGAAGCATGAGTTGCATTTATAATCTTAAGTGTACATGGAAGGGACCGCCTGCAGTTCCACAATGCAAAAACGTTTCCTGCGAACGAATATAGTACTGTCGCCATTTTAGTAACATGCGTGTTGAACATGAATATTGTATGTGCCGTTTTCAATAGGCTCATCAAGGGCATTGCTTATTACCCAGGCAACGGTATAGAGAAGGACCCCACTTAACTGTCAGGAGACTGTGGATCGTGCCATACACGATCTATGGTAAAGGGAGTTTTATGGGTGGGGCAGCACGCTAGACAGTAAGCTGACAAAATGAAAGAAAATACAAAAACTGTCTGAATTTATGTTGAAAGTCTTATCCTACGCTATTGTGCAACAACGGAAATGAGAGTAGTAATTAAACAGTAAACAAAGAGTAAATTTCACAAAATAACAAATTTTGAGTTAAGGTGTGAGGTTGTGGGAAGTAATCGTTGTTGGCATTGTAATTTCTGCAACAGCTTGAAAATGTATGTCAAGATAAAACCCCATATAACACGATCCACAGTCTACTGACAGTTACATTGGGTCCTCCTCTATACCGTTGCCCTTAACCAAAAATATAGTACTAGCTCAACATTGTCCTGTACTTTTTCATCGCTCTGGGCTTGGGATTTCAGTAACTACAGTATGTAATCCATATCATGAAATGCTAATCGAAATTCTGAAATGTGTTTTCGATTGAAAAGGGTTATCAGTATCAGTGTATTTCAGGGATAGTAAGTGTGTGCCTTTGAAATTCCTACTGGTTACATGCAGCGGAAGTATATGGAGAAAATGGAATGGAAGTAACATGAAAGAAATACAAGGGGAATAACAAAAACTGTACAGATGAACGCAGATTTCCATGCGTTAACAGCATTTAGATTAATATGAACTCGGTTTGTTGATTAAATGCAGGAGACAGTTGAAGCACACCTAAGATACAGGAAAAGAATTCAAATTTTTTTAGTTTGCACGCATCCTTGTGAATGCGAGCAGCGGCGTGCGACACGTTTCAAGCGTAATAAATTACATAAACATATGTTACTTGAAGGTTGGTAGTAGCATCGTCATAACATTAATTTGTCATCATTGGCTGTCAAGGTGGCTGATGTCCGGCGTTATTGTGGTGCACGCTCCAATGTTGATCTAGCCTCCGTTTAAAAGTGTCTACGGATCCCGACATAACAACATCCTCAGGCAAATCATTCCAAGCTTCAACCGCTCTGTTGGGGAAGAAGAACTTTCGTGTGTCTAGCCGGACACCAATCATACGCAGTTTGAGTGGATGGCCTCTCAGGTTAGTCGTAGTCGCCAACTCGTAGAAGTCTCCAGATGCGAGGCAGCAGCTCTGATTGCGCACGATGCGGAAAGCTTGTATCAGGTCCCCACGTAACTGTCTGTAACTCAAAGGAAAGGGATCAAGATTAACTAATCGTGTTTCGTAGGGCAGTGACCACTGCCCAGATACAAGTTTCGTTGCTCGCCGTTGAACTTTTTCGAGTATGCCGAGGTCTTTAGCGGTCCAGGGTCTCCATGCTTGGATAGCAAACTCCAGATGCGGACGCACAAAACTTCGAAAGACCTTGGCGAAGCGGTCTTCATCAAAAGAAGAGCCGTGTTTAGATGAGGTTGTTATATTTATTTCTGTACAGCCCAGTCAAAAGGTATTTCAGTAACCCCAAGGCGCCGGCTCTTAAACGCCCTTCGCTCTGGCCGTCAGCAAAAAACTGCATTCGGCAAAAAGTGGTCGCATGAGTTGCATGGACTCTTCTCCTCCCTTCAACCCAACACAAGTCACGCAAGAATGTGTCATACTGTTGCGCAGTTGCACGCAAATCGGTCAGTCCCGCAATTATTTCTGTGCCATGCACACGCAGACGGTTATGGCAATGCACCCGCAGTTCTCCTTACACAGCAGTGCACCTTCCGGGGGGAGGGAGGGTTGGAGTGGAAGACCCTCTCTCTAATCGTGCTGACGGGCAAGGGGATGACAGCGTTTGAGGCACATTTATCATCAACGCGCAAACATGTAAGGTACAAATATATGCATATCGGTAGACCTGCAGTCCGACTAAGTTAGAAGCATACCAATCGCACTGGAAAAGCAAAACAATTATGGCACCCCTACTGGGAAGCAAGTTCTATCTCTTCGAGAGGCATGCGAAAAAGGCCAACTTTAAGTCATTTTTAAATGTGTTTAAAAAAAGATCCTAAAGGAAGATAAAAACAGTTAAACGGAAGGGGTTCGTTATCTTTCGGACATTTGAAATAACAATAACTGCAAGCCAGCTTCAGAGCCTGGTGCATCTTCTTCACAGTTCATTTGATAGGACCCACAGCCTGTGTGTTTCATTGGGCCTGGGGTCTGGCTAGTCAATGAAGATCGCGGGGCAGCCGCGCATCCTGCTGTATCACAGATTGCGCGAACTGCGGCCGATCGTGCAGCCTGGTCTCATCCCATTCTGGAATCGTTTTCTGGGAGGTTACACATCCTTTTTGGGTAGTGACATGTGTCTTTTAGATCGACGTGCTGCTGATTGTGCCGTTGGAGGTACCGGCTGGGAAGTCGGATTAACCTGATGGGCCGCGGGAGGTTCCATCCATATCTGGGCCATGCAATGCGATGCTTTGATTGCCTCTAGTCAGGAAGTGGCGTTGAACTGCGCATGCCTCGGAGGGGAGGGGGAGCTCGATATGGCGGTCGAGTGAACGATCGACTGACAGCAACGTCTGTTGTGGTTGTCCTGACGTATGATTGCCTACTTAACTCGTCACCTTGATTCCATTCTGTCCTATGCGGGAATCAAACGAGATCGCGTGATTGAAAACATCGGGATCCGGGACCGACAAATACGCCATTACACTAAAATAAGGGAATTCCTGTAAACCCGGAAGGATCTATAAGGACCATGCTTCGCATGGACAGTAACGATGCAAGTGGAAAGGCGACCATCAGGAAGTAGTTGCGAAGCCTTTTCGTTTGAATCGGACATCTGTTTGGGTTTCCACTTAGCTGTCTCCATAGTAATGTGTTTAATACAAATCTCTAGTACGGACAGAGTTGGCGAGACGCGCGGAGATTTAAATGAGGGAATTCCTATAAACCCGGAAGGATCTACAGTAGGTGGACTAACTAATGAAATGTCAACCGACATCCCGAAATGCGTTTTCGTTTCGAAAAGATTAATTAAGTAGGATTGAAAATTAATCAGACTGCAGTATAATTCAATAATAATTAAGTTACCTGAGGATGCCGGCTGTCGAATGAACTTCTTCCGGCTGCATTCAAAAACGACACTCTGTAAAAATGACTACTTAAGTAGCATGGAGTTTTCTCATTGATTTTCGATGTCTCTAGAAGTCCAATTATATTTCATGGAAAACATGCATAAAAATATTCATTCTTTCATTCGTTCGGTAGACAATTACGTCTTCTTCCAATCTTGTACTCGAAGAAAGGATACAGTTTGGTTTTCAAAAACCGTTCCAGGCTAGATCGCAGTTGGTAGCCCGGACTCGCATTACAGGTGGCTGGGGGGTTTGTTTACTGTGGTTATTTTGTGGGCCTCCATAGTCACATCGGACACATTTGGCTACCATTTTGCGTTTGAGGTTAGGATTAGGGTACCGGTTAATGGTTTCCGATTTTCCGGTTAGGGTTATGCCTTTAGGCTTCGGTTTTCCGGTTAAGGTTAGGGTTTGAGCGTACGAATAGGTTCCAGTATTACGGTTAGGCTTCTCAGTTACGGCTATGTCCAAGGGCTATGGTTACGTTTACGATTTCGGCTAGGGTTAGGGTTGCCGGTAGGGTTAACGGTTAACGGTAACGGTTGAGGTTACGGTTAGGGTTAAGGTCGCCGTCCGCTTCCCATTCCGGGCCACCAACTGCGATCTAGTCCTTTTCCGATTCCCGAATAACTTTTAACCCGAGCACCGTCACACTTGCATTCAGGGTTTCCAAACTACAAGCCATGTATTTTCCGCGTACGAAAAACCACATATTTTTCTAAGGTATTTAGAGAAGACCATATTGGCTTCATAAAATTTTGAATTGGATTTGATCCATATTGTACATTTACAAGCCACATTGGTAAATGCAGAGACATGACGTTTAATGAACGGCCATTTCAAGGTATTAAAAAGTCTCACAGTAAGAAACTTTTTTTAACACCAAACTATGTTCTCTTTCGAGCATAAAATTGAAAGAAGACCTAATTTTCTACTGAATGAGCAAAAGAATGAATACTTTTATGCATGTTTTCCATGAAATATAAGTAAATGTTTAAGAGCATAGAAAATCAATGGAAAAATGCATACTACTTAAGTAGTCATTTTTCACAGAGTATGGTTTTTAAATGCACCCGGAAAGAAATTTGTTCGAAAGCCGGCGTCCTTGGGTAACTGCCGATAATACCATTCTGCCTATACCATGCGCCGCTGTGCGGCTGCTGTTTGGGCTCGAGAGAGAGCCCGTAAAGCCCAAGGGAACGAGTGAGTTCAGTAAGAACGATTGGTGAGCGCCCCCTACCATGGTAACTGAATTATTATAGAATTATCTTACACGACGATTCGTTTGACGACCCTACTTAATTAATCTTTTCGAAACGAAAACGCATTTCGGAATTTCTGTTGAGATTTCATGAGTTAGCCCACGGCTTCGCATGAACGGTGACGATGCAAGTGGGAAGGCGAGCATCAGGAAGCAGTTGAGAAGCCTTTTCGCTTGAATCGGACATTCATTTGGGTTCCCACTTCGTTGTCCCTATAGTGATGTGTTTAATACAAATCACTAGTACGGGCAGAGTTAGCGAGACGCGCGGAAATTTAACACGACAGACATATGATCTGAAGGCTCCTTTAAAATTGTCACTGAAGAATTCCCAAGTAGCGTCGGAAAATTGAACAAGAGAAGATGCTGCGAGTTCATGGGCGAGAGCGTTAAAAATCTGATTCGTATGAGGGCGACTGAACGTGTGCGCGAACAGAGGGCGGTATGCGACGCAAAAGTTGAGTGGCAGTTTTGTAAGTTGCCCGGTCCATCGTCATCCAAAAACAATAAAACTGGAGAAAAACCTGTCGCAAAGGAGCCTGCGTTTGGAGACCTCATCAACCACCGTTGATGCCAAACCTGTTAACATGACTGCAGTAATGGAGCCAATACTCAGTCAGGCGGAAGCGACAAACGAGACCAGGGACCTTTTTCAACACCTTGTTTCTCCCCTCCTCATAGCTCGCGCAAAGTGCTTCCCGATGTCAGACGCAATCCAGCAGGGGGGAATCAACGTTGACGAACAGATCTTTGTCGTGCCCGGAAACAAGGGGCGCTTCCTGTCCCCCATTGGATGGGACGGACTACCTGAAGAGGGTCCAAAAGCTACTGGGGGGTTGCTACTCCTATGCCCCGTGCAACGCCGATGCAGTATAAATACTGACATGCGAAGTCAGTGAAACGTTTTTGGTAATTTAGAACTCAGACGCAATATCGCCGATTGAGAGCTCAAAAACGGTCTAGGACAAACTCTTTTGCCTACCAAAGTGCACAAAGAGGGCGTTCCCTCCGGCCCATTATATCACCCAATGGCGCTTCAACTTACGGATTGAAAAAGTGACTGCTTTAATGTCCCAAACTTCTGGCCGCTGATTTGGATGCCACATGTAATTTGTCAACGCTTTTCATGGAGAAATTTAACGGCTAATTGTCCTGTCAGAGGCGGTCATGACATCATTCGTTGTCGCGCTCCTTTAACTTCTATTTCTCACGATCTGACAGCCTGGATCATCGAACTGCTTCTGCGATGAAAATGAAAATAGTCTCTGTCACTTCCAAATCCTTCCAATCCCGTGGTCTTGTTTCAAAACTTATCTATGAACAGGTGAAAGACACATCAATCGGTCCACTGATTTGGAAACTCAGCCGAGGCGGCACTGCGACGACCGGAGTTACCGGTTTTCCAACACCGCAAGATAAATTTTGGGCTTTGTATGTGCATTTTACCTTCGTTTTCATCGAAACCAATCAGCTGGTCTTCCTTAGCGTCCCCGTCCGCCGTGAAGATTATGGTGACCTAGGCGCTAAAATATTCTGGAATGCGATGATTATACCGCAGGTACTGAACTCTACTAGCAACCGTCCAATCAGCCAGAAGCGCACTTTCCTAAAGGTGTCAGGTCGACGTATTAAAGCGCATTGCAGTGAACCGGAAGACGTGATTGTCGAATTGCAGCACATTCTGGCTCGTGTGTAATTGGGGACCAACACGCTTGTCGTACATGTAGATGGAGGTTTTACGTCCTGTCAGTTGTTGCGTCCAATCATGTTTCCAGCCGACGAGACGTAGATGTACGTCGGCATATGATCAAAGATGCACGCGAGGGAAGGCGAGGTCAATCCAGCCCGGATCTAGCACACAGCACCTTCAGTATGAAGAAATTGTCTCGTCTTAAATCCTCACGGCGCGCCAACTGTTGAGATCGGAAAGACTGGAAATCGATGGGATAACTCGGTATGAACTGAGGGTTAGGTTGCAGTGGCAATATCTTATTGCAGTGAGCGACGATCGGGGACGTTTTTCTGAAAGTTTTGTTCAAGTGTGTGTGCACCAACATCCGCGTGGAACGACAGGCACTGATTGCGTCCACGCCAGCCGCCACTCGTCTTGACGTTATCTTTCTACCGGAACACAGTGCATATGGACAGAGAACACAGAGTGGATGTTACATACATTCCGCCGCCTCTTTGCACTACCTCTAAGTGCTCCCTCTTCATTGCTTCACAATATGCCTTTCTTTGTAATAATCTTCCACCAAAAATTAGGGCATCGCCTAATTTACTGGTATTCAAGTCGAAATTACGCAAACACATTACATCTGAAAGTATAAAGGCACTTTCAACGGTCTCATTCCCGAACACTCAGCTTATTGACTTCGAGAAGGGTCCTACGGGGATTTAGTGGTAGATCAAGTGGAAACCCTCAATTATGTCTTTACAAACCCTGTTTTTAATTGCTTTCTAAATCCACTGCTATCACTCCTCCCCCATAGCGACAAGTTTCGCAGTTCTTAATGTCATCTCCCGCATTTCGACCTGAAGCTGTCTGTCGATGCTCACGGCAGAACTCGCTGTGTATGCCGCCTACTAGTAGTTTGGTCGTACCTTCCTTCCCCACTCCTCGGCTGGGCTCGAAGCGTACTATGGCCGAACGCGTCTGAGTTCCTCTCGTCTGGCCTCCTTGACGCGAATAATCTCATCCGACGTATCAATCCTGCCCTGACGATGTCCGATTATAATCCGTTATATACCGCCAAATGCAGGCCAGTCCTGCCCGCATTTTTGTGCTATTATGAGCGAGGATTTTTTGCTCCTGTAAACTTAATCCAATCATTTTTAAATTTTTACGTGGGATTTTTTTTCACTGCTCACTTCTCATTTGTCTTAACGGATCACAAATTCAGAAACGATGAATTGCATTTTGTACAGATTCTACCTACCTCGTATAAAATTCGTATGTAAATTTGTTTTCACTTACTTTGATGAGACCCCGACAGGTTTTTAATAAAAATTATTTATTTATTCTTTTATTGCAATAAAACTCATGCGCATGTCAGTACCATCTTC